TATTGTGAGAAATGAGTGATTTCCTTCTGCAGGTCTTCCATCTTTGACAGAGGATGATAGCGGGTGAGGAACTTGTCGGTCAAGCTGGCGAATGTAGTGATCGATCCCGGAGGCCGGGTGTCCAACCACTCCTTTGCCGGCCCCTCTAGAGTGAATGGGAAGTACCTCGGCTGGATGGCGTCCGCAGGAACCCCATTAATCTTAATTCCATAGATTAGCTCATGGAATCGCCGTAGGTGCGATCTGGGGCACTCCCCGTCTTTTCCACGGAATACCACCGAGCCGCGCAGCATGGTGATGACAGAGGTGCTCACTTCGAAGTTTTTAGCTGGAACTTCAGGGTGCTGGATGGGCGACCTCATGTCTACGACTCAGGCAGTCCATTAGTATCCCATGGTGTGTGCATCGGGGACAATGTCGCCATTATTGGGTTCTCCCATGACGTCCTCCTTATTGAGGTTCAGTTGCTCCAAGGCCTTCTCCGCAGCCAGTCATGCCTTCAAAGCTCGCTTGGAGTTACGACAAGTTCGTTCGAGATCTTGATCTAACGGATATAGCTTTCCCTATTGGCTACAGGTCATGCACTACATGCACATAGCTGCAAGCACAACCCATGAAGGCACATAGGGGGGAAGAAAGAAAATAGTAAAGTAACAGATGTTCACGTTTCTCCAATAATCTAGAGGCTTCCCCGGCAACGGTGCCAAAAACATGACACACTATGACACAATACCAAACTGCGACCAAGTATAATCGCAGAGTGGAAATACAGAATAGTGGTTAAGTCTAATTATCAACCTGGGCTCTAGATCTACTGCCTACTCAGTGAACTCCTATTATCTAGCAGGACTAAGCGAGTGTAATGAATTTAGTGCAAAAGAAACAAAAGCAAGTAATGTTTGCTTCTTTTCAGGTTCAAAAGGTCATCCAAGTATGGTTCCCCCTAGTGTGCAGCTAGTTCAGGTTATACGGTCCCAAATTACTCAGATTGATAGATTATCCATGGAAAGTTCTTTACTGGTCTGGAATCTCGATTAAAGTTATCCAGACCCTCTTGATTCGGATACCCGGTAGGCGACTAACCTCCACCGGCATACACTAACCAGGGTTAAACATGCGAAACTTCCACTACTGGCCTTTGTTCCAGTATGGAGCAGTGAATCGACTTCTCGACTAAAGCAGTTAATTCACCACTTTCAATTAAAGGTTGCTCTTTTACCCTATGCAGAGACTATCATTCTAGGTTAAAGCCGGAATTACACAGGTTTGATCAGGACTCATGCAATTCTGAATAATTCCTCAACTGAATTTATCACATTAATCATTCATAACATGGGGTTCATACAATCATTCCTAACATACACAGCTACGGTTCTTCATACCCAAATGAAATGGAAAATTACTCCAGGGAGAGATGTGAGAACGTCATGCTCGGAGGAGACATCATCAAAACGACAATGGGCAACTGCTCCTGGCGGCTAATCGGTACTCCGAGGTTGGGGAATCAAGCTCCGAGGTCTTTAGATCGCTCCAATCCTTGTCCAAGGGTTTGTCTTCGTCACTCTCCCTCTAGGGTTCTTTTTCTTCCTTTAGAAGTCGAAAATCCGGATCCTTTGCAAATTTCCCGAGCAACCTTTAAATAGGCTGAGAATCCGCGAGTTACGGCCTAAGTTACGGCCGTAACTCGCCTGTACCGCCTGTTTGTCGAGGAATGACTTCGTTGTTTCACTCTGTAAACCAAGAGTTACGGCTTCCCTTGGGGAGTTACGATCTCAACCGTAACTGGAAGAGGGAAACCGTAACTAAAAAACACTTCTGGAACTAATGTCAACGCTTCCCAGGAGTTACGGGTATCAAGGCCGAGTTACGGCCTTGACCGTAACTTGGAAGATTAGCCCGTAACTCTAAGAAAGCTCATGGATCTCTTCATTCTCCACTTGCCAGTTACGGCTCCTCACGGAAAGTTACAGGCCAGACTGTAACTCACAAGGTCTGGCTGTAACTTCTAGGTGCTCGCTGTCCTTCGCTCCAAAACGTCCCGAAACCTCGCTTCATCGCGCCCATTCACGTACTAAGTCCTGAAACATCATAAACTAACACGCAAAAGCGTAAAAGAGAGCGAGAAAGAAAGCTCAAACGGTCAAGAAATGACGGGAAAAACATGTTCAAATATGGCATTATCAACAACACAACACAATAATTTATGAATAATACCTCCACATTCACATTAAACACAACCACACACAAATCATTCAATCCATACAAGCATTCACATAATTGTAGCTAGGGTTTACAAACACCCAAGTGAAAGAAGGGACTACTTCATGCTAGGAGAAGGGAAAACACAAGAGAGAAGAAGGAAAACCATCAAAGAGATGTTAGCCTTACTCCTTGTGTTGAAGAAATCCTCCTTTGTGGGAGGAATTCCCAATTCCTTTCTTGAATGTGAAACCCTAGCCTTGCTCACTCTAGAAATCTGAAGAAGAAGAAGAAGAAGAAGAAGAAGAAGAAGTTTCTCACACTAGGTCTCCCCCTTTTCGCCTTTGGCTCAACCTCCTTTATATACCCAGATCGGGCTCAGGGACCATGATCTCAAGTCGAAACGCGCCGCATCACTAAGTCCAATTCATGGGCAATGGCCGGAGTTCACGATCTTACGACCGTGAACTGACTCATGTCCAGTGAAAACCATTTGTGCTCTGGATGCGTGGTTGTTTGTGGGAATCGCCTCCAGTTCATGGTCATAGTGACTGTGAACTCACAACCCAAACCGTGATCTGCTGATGTTTTCACCGTTTCACTTGATTTTTTGCCTTTTCGTCCAACTTTCGACTCCGGGGTTGGTTCCACCTGCCAAAGTCTGAAAAACACCAAAACAAGGCACAACCCTGCGCAAAACCAAACCTCCCAGAGTAAAAATGCTTCAAACGACTAAGCAAACAGGGGGTAAAAAGTGTACAAATGAGCCCGAACCACCAAGGGAGTTGGTTCCATCAATCTCCTACGATATAGGGTTTTCATAGGTTGAATAGAGCACACCCCATTCAGCGATTCGCCATTCCGGGTCATTCCCGATGGAGTCCATCTCCCAACAGTAGAGTATTTGAGTCGATCGAGCTAGAAGGATACCCAACATCGATACAAAGGACGAACCCAAGACGATTCAACCCAAGAGAGCTCCATACCTTGTAAATAGCTAGGTTCGTGATTAGTTTAGGTTGGTTAGTTTAGTTTTATTAATCACTATCCTAGTTTGGCTGGATAACGAACCCCAAACCAAAGTATGGTAAGCCTAGATCCCCGTGGTACGATAAATTATTATTGCTAGCTTGCCTGCCCTATGCTACACCCAGTCGAAGGTTATACTTGGCTGCCGATCAGGATGTCGTAGTTGGAATGTGTCACTTCTCTGATTCCATAATTGATTGAGCTACGATTATTTTTTCTTAAACTTAGAAGACACAGATCCCCCAGGGATGTTAAAGAAATTCCCACTGGTCGCCTTGGAGTCATCTGATAGGGTATTCCAGTCCGCATCACTATACCCTTCTAGTATAGCAGGAAACCTTTGATAGTGTATACCAAGGTTCGTTTTTCTCTTCAGGTATCTCACGACCCTCTCTATAGCATTCCAATGCTCCCTACTAGGACAACTATTTCGTCGAAAATTCGCGAAAATTCGCGAACTACATTATGTGAGAGCGCGTTTTTGGGATTTTGAGAGCGCGAATTCTTCTAGAACCCAGAAAACTAACGCTGATATTGTGGGCGCTCCATAATCACCAGAAACAATGTGATTTTACAGCAGGCCAGGACTCATCACCCCCATCGACGCCACTCTGTCCCCGCTCTTCGCCGTTCCAAGGGTAGATCCACGCATGCAACAACAAATTTCAAAGCAACCCCAAATTCAAGATTAATCCTCATAGATCTACAGTACTTGAATTGAGATCGAGAATCAAAATGGTCAGTGAATTATAGGAGGGGACGAGGACGGATGCGGCTCCGAGGAAGTCTCAGAAAGGAGCAGATTTGTCGTCGTTGAATGTCGACGCCATTTCTGATATATATCACTTGACAAATCTGAGACAGTAAGTAACTGCCGCCGCGGGATAGAATAGATGAGTCGATTGAACGATTGATGATATGCCTCTCTTTCTCCTTCTTCATCTATCGATTTTCTTACTTGGAAATTAAAGGCAGAGAAGAAGTAAAGAATGAGAGAGAAGCAGAGGAAAAGTTTTGGCTGATGGTCGTTTGGAGATATAAGGAGGACGACATTATCTGAATTAATGCAATTATATCAATTAATTGGAGTCCAACTCCAAATTCCCAAACCAATGAAATTGGAACGTCTTTCTAGAAAAGTCCAATTAGTTGGCCGTTGGGCTTTGTTAATTGCTTTTTTTATATATATATATAATCGGCTTTGTTAATTACTTAACTTTTCTTTCACTGATGTTTTTCTCCTTTTGTATGTGCAATATTTGTTTCTCTTATACAAATATGTTTTTGGAGAAATTCTCTTATACAATATTAATATAACTATTTTAACCAAATAACCTAGTGTAATGCAAGGAAATAGTTATTTAATATATTTTTAAGTATGGTATAGTTGGTACCAACATTATTAATAAAAATATAGTTATTAATAATATATATTAAAATAATATAATATTAACGCTCTGTTCACGCTCTCAATATTAAGTTTTTGAAAAATAGACGCTTTCGCGCTCCCGCTCTCGCTCCTGCTCCCGCTCTCGCTCCGCGAACTGGTTACCTAAGGCAGCACATCACATAGCTTTCAAATTTTCTGCTATTGAATATTGATGGAAACGTGTTCAACGATTGTTATTAGTTTTCATCCACACATAAATATATATATATAATCTATGTAGAATTTAACCTTATTGTAAACACCCTCTCTATCTCATTCTGCCACAGACGCCAGCTACCTGACAAATGGCTACCTGGACACCCCAATCGACTGGATCCCAGGGATGGAAGGAATGCCCCTCAAGTACCTCCCCAGCTTCATCTTCACCACCGACCCGAACGACGTCGTAGTCAACTTCGCCATGCGGGAAATCGACCGCGCCGTCACCAAGAAACCCGCCGCCATCCTCCTCAACACCTTCGACGAGCTGGAGCAAGACGTCCTCGCCCACCTCTCCACCGTCTTCCCGCCGATCTACACCATCGGCCCACTCTGCGCCCTCACCAACCACTTCCCTTCTACCAAGCATGAGCCCCTCGCCTCCATCGGCTCCAACCTCTGGACCGACGAGCCCGAGTGCCTCAAGTGGCTCGACGCCCACGCGCCCGGGTCCGTCGTGTTCGTCAACTTCGGGAGCGTCACGGTCATGTCCCCGGGCCAGCTGGTGGAGTTCGCGTGGGGGCTGGCCAACACGAAGGTGCCGTTTCTGTGGATCATCCGGCCGGATATTGTCCGTGGAGAGACCGCGATCCTGCCCCCGGAGTTCGTGGAGCAGACGGCGGCGCGTGGGATGATGGCGGGGTGGTGCCCGCAGGAGGAGGTGCTTAAACATCCGGCGGTGGGCGGGTTTTTGAGCCACATGGGGTGGAACTCGTTCTTGGAGAGCGTGTGCGGCGGGGTGCCGGTGGTGTGCTGGCCGTTTTTCGCGGAGCAGCAGATCAACACGTGGTTCGCGTGTGAAAAGTGGGGGGTTGGGAGGGAGATCGGGAATGATGTGAGGAGGGAGCAGGTGGAGGCGATGGTGAGGGAGCTGATGGTCGGGGAGGAGGGGGAGGGGATGAGGACGAAGGCGGCGGAGTGGAGGAGGAAGGCGGAGGAGGCGGTGGCGCCGGGTTCGGGGTTGTCGTATGTGAATTTTGAGAGGCTTGTTGAGGAACTGATCTGATGGTGGCTGGAAAATCTAGCTAGATAGGGCCGTGTGTGTGTGTGTGTAAGTTGCTGTTTAAGGTTCCGGTGGTCCTTTTTTCTGGTTTTTTTTGCGCGTCTTTTTCAAATTTGTTGAAATTGTGTCTTATGAATGGAATAATTTCACTTGGTCATCCTTCGGTGTCACTATAGCCATAGGTGGAATTAAACATTGCGCCTACCACGTGGTCCCCTCTGGTCCAACCCCCCTAGCATCCTCCTTCGATGTCGTTGACCCATGCTGGCCAGTTCGGAATGAGAGAGAGGTCACCCGAGACTGGATCGACGACAAAAGAAGGAAGAGGAAGAGGGGTTTGACTAGGAGAGCGAAGATACTAGATAGACTCAAGTTTAGGAAAATTATACTTCTATTAGTGTTTTCCTCGCGCTTTGCATTCGTAAGAAACTAATTATATTAAGATATTATATACTCATTTAATAATTTAGTTGAAACAAATAATTCACAAAATCGTAAAATACCCCATAAATTTTAGGTCACTACTGAAAGCTATTTAGTTAAATACTCCACCACGTACCAAATCCCAAAAAGCAGGAAAAAGATTAATACAAAGCAAAGCGTATATCTTTCACATAGGACTAGGTAAGAGTTTCCGTGAGCGAAAAGGATGCTTTGTTCCTCTCCTTTCAGTTTAGCTACTTCTAACCTTCGGTCGAATTCTCCCCCTCTCCTTTCAGTCGAGCATATTGATAACCTCTCCTCTCACTTTATTCGAGCTTATTTCTCTCCTTATTGTTCTAATTCAAATGCGAGCTACTTCGCACAACTTCCATATTAATAGGAAGGAACTTTAATCAGAATGAATATGAAATTTTCTTCTATGATCGATCGGTATAAACATCAACAACTCTGAATTGGATTGGTTTCGCCTCAACAAATAAGCGCAAGGCCACTCTATGTAGTGTGTGAATCATTAAAAATTATTTATGTAATCCAAATGTTTAATTGATACATAAGATATAATTATCAACCCATAAGCTTTTCATATTGTCTTAATCATTAAAAAGTTTATGAAATACACTTGCTTAATTGATATATAAAATAATTTTACTCCATAAATTTTATATTATATATTTGTAATTTATACTGCTATAGAATGGTGTTATGCAACTTTCTTGTAATATGTTGACATATAATAAAGGGCTAATATCACTAGAAAACTCGAACTATCAAGAACATGTCATGTGTGTCCTAAAGTATCCAATATGACATTTGTGTCTTTTGTGTCCTTTATGTCTGACGATTTTGTTGACCGTTATATGTAACAGTTGACCAGACGGTGGTCAACTTGATTTTGACTTTTGCTGACGTGGCAAACACGTGGCAGCCACCTAGATGTCATGTCATGGACACCTTATAATTTTAATTAAAAATTAAAAATGCTAAAAATTAAAAAATTAAAAATTAAAAAAATATAAACTCAACCATATTAATCATCCAAAATTTTAAAACAAAAAAATAAAGCAAAAAAAAAAATTACAATAAGGAGAGGAGGACCACACGACCCTTCCCATTTCTATCTTATTTCTCTCCGCCGTCTCTTACCCCCACCCTGCAGATTCCCCATTCAGCAAACCCACCATCGCAAAGTCCGGTCGCTATCCCAACCCCACCCTCCACCGTCTCAAGTTCGAGCAATCCGGTCGTCGGAATCGAAGCCACTAGGGCTGTCAGTCGGTCGGTTTTCGGTTAAACCGAGCGACCCTCTAGCACTATCGACCACCGACCGACGTGTTTCACACGGTCACCGCCTAACCGACCGGTCGGTTATCGGTTATAACCGCGGTTAGCCGAATTGAATACAAAAAAAAAATTAATAGAAGAAAAGTCGGCCACCACACATTCAGACCCACCTTATCTTCTTCTTCTTCTCTCCTCACCCAAAATGAGGAAACAAACCGCCGAAGACTTTTCTTCTCCCCTCTCTCTCCTTTGCCTCCTAACCCTCCATCTCCAAGACCCTTCTTCTCTCCTCTCTCACTTTTCTTTTCCTTATGCTCGGGGACCCTCCATCTCCAAGACCCTTCTTCTCTCCTCTCTCACTCTTCTTTTCCTTCTGCTCGGGGACGGCCGATGGACACGGTTCATCTGCTCGAGGACGGCGACGGCGAGGCGATGAGGACGAGATCTGGGCGAGGCGGCTGCGCGAGGCGGCGAGGAAGGCATGTGGACGGGTCACGGCCGACGAGGAAGGATCTGCATGGCGGCGAGGAACGGAGGTAGGCGGCGGCCGTGAGGCGACAAGGAAGGGAGCTAGGGCGGCGGCCGTGACTCGTGAGGGTGACACGCAGATACATCTCTTCTCCGAAATTAGGGTTTCAGTTTGGGGTTTCAGTTTGGGGTTATGGGTTTTATATGTCATTTTTTTTGCAGGGAGGGCAATATATGAGGGTTTGTCAGTTTTTTAGGATAACCGCGGTTAATAATGGTCGGTTACTCGGTTATCCGAAGATTTGGTATTCTCCTCCGTCCACCGACCGAAGCAATTTTAGTCTCGGTTTTCGGTTAGCCGAAAACCGGTCGGTTCGGTTGTAACCGCCGGTTATCCGCTAACCAGAAACCGAACTGCCAGCCCTAGAAGCCACTGATAGCAGAAGGGGCAGAGTCCAACGTATTAGGGTTATTAGAAGAAGTTGGAAGAGAATGGAGCAACAATAGCCACTAGCTCCGCTCTCAGATCTCGCCCTAGGGTCGGAAAAGGCACGAAACCCCCCCACCCAGATCTCTCTCTCATACTATCTTTGACGGTGACGGAGGAAGAATGGAAGAATCGAGCAACCCAGATCGACGACCTCGCTTATGAACCCAGATCTGCCAGCGACTCCATCAGCAACAACTCCCTCGCCATTTTCAAACCCACTAGCTTACCTCAATTGCTCCGCTCTTGATCCTCATGCCTCTCTTGATTCGCTGGTGTATTCCGTCTCCGTCTTGCCACCGAAATCCTGGATAAGAATGACCAGTTATCAACATCTTTCCTCTCCCCCAATGTTCGAGCTCCCCTGGAATCTGTGAAACTGCTCTCTTCATCGCTCTCGTCAGCAATGGCGGAAGCGCGGCGGCGAAGTTGTTGTCGAGGAGTGCAGGGAAGTAAAGGGGTTATCGAGGGAAAAGACAGCGAGAAAGAAGAAAATGGGGAGGAGAGGGTTTGGTGCTAATGGAGGGGAAGGATGGAGTTGGAGTTGAGACGAGAGAAGAGGATTTGGGTGGCAGATGGAGTGGAGGACGAGAGAAGAGGAAGAAGTTGGGATCCTGGGAGAATATTTCACTACAGGAAAATTCACATTCCATCACGGGATTTCCCATGACTTAATAGTGAAATTCCGTGACTAAATCCTTTCATCATGGGTGTTTCCCGTGACAAGCATGCCTGTGGTCAAATGTATTTGGTCACGGGATATCCCATGACAAAAGATGACATGATAACGGGAATATTCCCTTGGTAAATGGTTTATTTAATCATGGTTAATCCCGTGACTAATAATTTATCACGGGAAAATTCCCATGACTAGGTGCTAAAGTAGCCACGGGATTTACCATGATTAGTTGTATCATTTGACTCAGGATTTTACTCTTTTGTCACGAGACTGTGATCGTTGGCATATTAATGATTAAGGGGAATTCCATTGATTGTTGTTTCTAATTAGTCAATAAACATCTAAAATTATTACTTGTTAATAGTAGCATTACAATAACTAAAAGATCTTATTTAGAACATCCATGCCATCACAAGAAAATTTGAGTTGAAAATAATAACTTGATTGTTAAAAATACTATGAAAGCTCATTCATCAATGTTTACGTATAATTAAGAGCTTATATATGCTTGTAGCATCCTAACCGAATTGAACCTAACATAAATCTAACTGATCATTCCACTTGATCAAACATCCTAAATACACATACAAAGGAAAATCACGAAACTTGTTGTGATAATCTACATCACATTTATATATTGCTGCTTTATTGTCTTGTTTCCTCTTCATGCCTTGTTTGTTCTCCTCTTCTTGCTTTATCTTTTGTCTCCTCCCCTTGTCTTCCACTGTAGATTGAACTCAGATACGTGAGCAGCCTCGGCTACAAATCCTTCCTCTAGACGAATCTGCAAATATGAAGAGTCATAATGAAGGGGAGTAATACGCGAAGAAGCCAAAACCGTAAAAGATTGAACTAATCTACATTTAATTGGCCATATAGGAGAAATTGTCAATTTATGCAACATAGGAAGGAGGACGTTAAACAGAAGCCAAAAAGAAAACCCAACGTAAATAGAACATAAAGAGTAACCACCATTACTCTTATTTGAATTGTAATTTGGATTGTAAACAGAACATAAATAGTACATAATTAGACAGCCATTTGGCAAAAGGAAGTTAATAATCAAACACGCATGATCTAGGCTCTAGCAAAGGGGCAAGGAAGGGAGAATCACAGAACAAAAAGGAGACAAAATCTACCTTCATTCGTGACCTTTCTAGTTAGGGCTTTTGGTTTGAAGTTGATTGGGTTATCAGGTGAACCTGAAAACAGAGAAGTTGATCAAGAAGCTAGGTGTGACCCATATGTCGCATAAGCTGAAAATAGATATTGTGTAGGCTAGATGGGCTTTGTTAGTGTTGAGCTATCACCCGGACGATGACTTCAATGGAGGCATCTGTGAAAAGTATAGCGTTTACAATGGAGGTTGCCGGTTCTGAAACAAATTTGAAGATGAGGACAAAGACGGCAGCGGCTACCACTAATTTATCAGGGGCTCACACTCATACTGCCCCCTCCATCAATGAGGCTCCCAACCTAACATATCCCCTTAATAAGCATAGAAAGTCAGAATCACAAGCCACATAAAATTCCCAATTAGGCTACATAAGTAGGAATAAATCCCATATTAGGTTTGAATACCACCATTTATTTGTTTTCGGATAAGAAAAGAGTGGAGGGATATCACCTTGGTAACTAAGAAAA